TGAATATTTTAAAGGAATCCCCAGCTGCTCCCGGCAGCTGCACCATCTTAGATCCCCGCTAGCAAAGCACAAGGGTACTGGCTTCTGAGGGAATGGGTTTTTCCACCTGAGAAAGAGCTAGTGCCTTTGCCCTGGCATCTCAAAACAATGCAAAAACCTATGCATTGGCAGTAAAAATGTCCGTTAACTTTTTTAAAGGACTACTGGTCAAATCTGTTTTTGTTTTTAATTCTTGATTTTGAAGAGCTTAGTATTAGCAACTTTAATGTGAAAATGACTGGAGCAGCCCTTGAGAGAAAGACTACAAACAGCTTCCAGTAACTGGACCGTAACTAGAAATCAGTAAGGCATGGTGTGGTCTGAAAGACGAGGGAAACAGGAAGAGGGTCTCCAAGCTGACCTGTGAGATGCTGAGCCCATTAAATTGAGTAAATAACTTGAGTGAAAACAAGAAAGGGCAGTGATGAGGACAGAAAAGAGAACTCAAACAGGGGCACCTTTTACATGATGAACAAAGAAATAGAGGTCACAGCTTGTAAAGAGGCCATTTGAAAGTTGCTTGATTTGTAAATATTAGGGACATGAAATTTCAGGGAAAAGCAAAGCCTGTCAGAAATGGTTTTAAATAAATAAACCCAGGCACAAAACCTAAATCAACTACTGGGTCTGCCGGCAAGGAGGGAACAGCTATGGAGGATTAAAATATTTGTGTGAAGAAGGTGGCTACGTGTGTAGAAAGTAAAAAAACCAAAATCTGTCTCATGTTTAAGGTTCTCTTACATTTTGAATGCTAGGTATTTACCAGCAGAGAGAAGTTTCCTTTTGATTTAAGGCAGGACTGTATAAAGAGAGGAGATCGCAGGTTCGTTTAGCAGCCGAATAAATTTATTATTTTTTACGGTCTCTTTATTTTTGGGAGAGTGTGAGTGGGGGAGGGGCAGAGAGAGGGGGACAGAGAATCCTAAGCAGGCTCCATGCTGTCAGCACAAAGCCCAACGTGGGGCTCAAACTCACGAACCACAAGATTGTGACCTGAGCTGAAGTCAGATGCTCAATCGACTGAGCCACCCAGGCGCCCCTGAGCAAATGCTTCTTATGTGCCAGGTTTTAGACTGGGGAGAGGAGGTCATGGAGCTGACTAAGGGCCTGCCTTGAAGACCTTGCAATGGCGGTAGGCGAGGTATACAGATCAGTGATGTAGACCTGCTCACTACAGTGAGGCAGGTGAAGCACCAGGGTACTATGTGCATGGACAAAGCATAGACCAAGAAGCATGGTTCTTGGTCTGGTATCCAGAAACTCCTAGAAGGCTTTCTGAGCGCCTGAACTGACACATTGGGTGAGTGGATCTAGCCTCCCCAAGGGGGAAGTAAAACGGGTAAAGTAGAACCCCTTTCTAGGAGGAGAGATCAGCATGAGCAAAGGTGAAGGAAGTGTGAGAGTCCGGTTTGGTGGCCAGCTGTTGAGAGAACAGAAAGTACTGGAATCTCCCAGCAAGTCAGTGGTATTCTGAAGCTATAAATTTCAAGGCAGCCAGGGATCAGTCTGGAGAGAAAGATTAGAGCTATATATTTTTCTTCCTCTAATGTCCAAATCCATCCTGTGCTAATCTCTCATCTCCTTTTATAAGCAAACCTTTTTTTTTAATCATGATTTTAAAATACTGAATAATCATTACAAATAGGCCATTCTTTGGAGATGGAAAAGCTGTTTGATATTAGCAGTAATGAGCCTCTTACTCTTATAGATTTTGGCTACTAAATTCTCTTTCTACATATACCCGAGTTGGCACTGCTGTTGGTTCTCCAGGATCTACTCAGCCTCTGCCTTCTTGAATACTAGCAATGTGGTTTGAGGAATTTAGCAGAAAGATCAGCTGTTTAATGGTGATGCTATCTCCACTGGCAGGGTTTTAGTTCATTAATAGGTATGTGGTTCACTTCCGGCTAATGGGGGAAAAAATGAAAGTTTGGAAGAGGATTACGGGAAAGAGAACCATGACAACCAAACTGTTACTATTTCTAGATAAGAACCAGAAGCTTGTAGCTTGAGGTGCCATGAGGGGACACAGGCTTATGATCTAGGTAGTGTTCTGGATAGAAGGCTGGCAAGATGAAAGAAAAAATCAGAATCCTCGATGGATCCTCTACTAAGCTGGCAAATCCAAGAACTCTGAACTTGTACCATTATTGGACTTCCTTTTCTGAAAGCTAACAATTTTTCTTACTGTTTAACCTACTTTGGGTTGCTCATCTGAAGCTTGAAATCATCCATATCCTAAATGATGCTTGATCTGTGACCTTCAGTAGACAACTGCCTGACTTTTTGTGACTCTGCGCCTTGAGACTCCTCTCCCTTATCTGTGAAATGAATGTAATTATGTCTCATCAAGTATTTATGAAGATCACTTGAGATGCGGCATAAAGCCTGAGAGAGGAGGTGTGAACTAATACATGTTGAACATTTATTGTATACCATGAAATAGGCTGGTTCTTGGCTCTAGGAAGCTTAGAAGCTAGAAGAGAAATTCACAGATAATTTTCATATTGGAAGGTATAAATAAGGCCACGTGGATATGGACAGATAGGCAAGATCATTCATTCAGTATTTCAGTACTTCCTGTTCTAGCCACAGTGATCTGGAATGGGGTGGGGGCAGGGGATGAGGAAGAGATTAAGGAAGGCATATCTGAAGAAGTGTTCTTAAGCCAAAACCCGACAGATGAGTAGGAGTTAGGTGAGGAATAGGGAGAACATTTCAGGCAAAGAAACATTATGTACAAAATCCGGGAAGTGTGAAAGAACTCGATGTGTTCAAGAAGTAGGAAGTGTGAAAAGGAAGTGTGTGGTCAGAGTACAGTGAATGAAGGATAATGTGGGTGATGAAGTTGGAAAGGTAGAAAGAGAACAGATAATTCAGGGCCTTGGTGGTCACGTTATTTGAATGATCTAGATATAAAATGACGCCATTGGGAAATTTTAAGCCAAGGGGTCTCACAATCTGAGCTTTACTTTTTTTTTTTTTTTTTTTTACTGGGGTTTCAGGTCTCGGGCGAGGAAGAGCAGTTGGGCTAGTCAGCAGTGTGGCTGAGAGACGTGGCTAGTTGGGACCGGGGTGATGGCAGTGTAGATGGAGCTGCATGGATGGATTTGAGCAGCACTGTGGGTGTAGAGCTTGCTGGACCTGGTGATAGATGGAAGGGATGTGGTGAATCGTGGGGAGAGTCCTGCCAAGGATGACTCTTAGGTTTCCGTGGAACTGGAAAGGACTGGAAAAGGCATTTTTGGGGGCAGTGGTAGAAAGCCCAGATTCAGTTTTGAACATGTGAAATTTGACATATCTGGGATATGCTGGAATTGGGATGCTGACTTCCAGGTGCACTTAGGTCTGAAGCTCTTAACAGGTCTATCGAGGCTGTGGTTAAAACGTGGGCATCAGCAGCAAGTTGTTGATTGTATCTGAGGGTGGGAATGGATGACTCCTGTTAAGGAGAGCATGGAGAGCAGGAAGGGAGCCCCTGCCTCACTTCTGGGAAGCCAGCCATCATCTCTCAGGTGTCACATACTCTCTTGGAATCCTGGTAAGAGGAAGCCCTGACCTGAATGGGGTGTTGAGTAAGGGAAGAATTGTAGAATTACAGCAGGTGGCTAAAAGGGAAGCATGCTGAGGGTGGCTCAGTCAGTTAAGTGTCCGACTCCTGATTTCTCATGGTTTTTGAGATCAAGCCTCACATCAGGCTCTGTGCTGGGATTCTCTCTCTCCTTCTCTCTCTGCCCTATGCACGTGTCCTTGCCCTCGCCCCCCTCCCCCACAAAAAAACATTTAAAACCATATATATGTACATATATGTGTGTGTGTATATGTGTATATATATATGAAAAACATATAAAGGGAGACAGACATGCCAAGAATGGGAGGCAACCAAAGATATTGAGTAAAAGGTTATCAATGAAGTAGAGTCCTGAGTGGGATGGAGGAGTGAAGATTCTGGCCCTGAGTTCTCTGAGGCCTAAGAGAAAGGGATAAGGAATTTAATTAAATTTGAAGGGGTGGAGTCCCAGGGAGGTGAGAGAATTTACTACCAGAAACCACAAAACACACACAGATGTATTGTGTGCATGTGCACATGCACACCCAGCCTCACACACGCCGGGTGGTCCATGGAGGTCATCTGTGGAAATCGAATGGTTCCTGTAACACTCACTGCTGTTTCTTGGATGAACACTGGGTACATTGAAGGGGCTCAGTAAGTATTTCTTGAACAAATAATTATGCTCAGAAAATGGGCTGTAGATTTTATTTATGGTCCTATCCATGTTAGAGGATGTGGGTAAGGCAGGAAACCATCAGAAGGCCCTGGGCTTGACTCCCTTGAACCCTCCACTTTGATCTTTCCTTCTCTTTCATGTAGCCATAATAACTCTGTTTTAAAATAACTTGTCCTTTTCTCTGCCTCTTCTGTTGGACCATAAGATCTTGGAAGGGAACATCTGTCATATATAAATCCATGTTTCCAGGATCTAACCCAGGGGATGGCACATAGTACATGCTCAGCAAATAGCTGTACAGTCAGCGCATGCGGGGGTACTTGAGTGGATGCTTGAATAGACTCCGAGGAGGAGGGAATGAGTGCTTATCCAGATGGAGGCAGAGACAAGAAGCTGAACTGCAGAGGTTGAATTAGTTGCATGTGTGGGAGGCAGTAACGAAGTTGCCTGATTTGGTAATCTCATCTGTGATGTGGGCATTAGTAACTTGCTCAAGGTCAAACAGCTTGGAACTGATGGTTTCAGGATTTGTGTTGAAGTTTTTCTGATTTGAGAGCTCGGTGTTACCTCTACGCCATGCTCCCTCCTTCCCAGATCATTTCCCATCATTATCACACCACCTCTAAACTTGCCACTGCTTTGTTTCTTCCCTCAGAGGCCGCATGAAATACTGTCTTCATGGACGCCTTCTTTGCAGGACTTGTTTTCAATTCTATTTTTCCTCTTTCCCAGCTCTCCACTGTGGCTTGAATCCACGGGGTATTGATCACCCTGCCCGTGCCGAAGGTATTAAGCTACAGATCGAAGGTGAAGGTGTTGAATCTCAATCCATTAAAAACAAAAATTTTCAGAAGGTGCTTGACCAAAAAGGAACCCCCAAGCGACTGCCAGCAGAAGCTGAGACTGCTAAGGTAGGTAGGAATCCACTAAATTATGGAGACTGTGAAGGTGCAGCTTTGATATTTTGTGGTCCAGCCACAGATAACGGATGGTGCTTTCACTGCTTGCCAGTGTATCTTCAATTAAACGAACACTGACTGCTTCTGGGTTCTAGGCAACAATGAAAATGTTGACTGCATCCCCTTTGGAGTGAAACTCAAACACGTTTGTGGTCCATGTCCTGTCATGAGTATGGTATAGAACGGGCTATTGAGAAGGATGCCTTGACTTAAAGGTGAGAGATGTGTTTGCCAGGCTCGCATTTATCATTTTATGAACTTAGGCATGAGTATGAGGCCTCAGATTCTTCTCCTCCAGGATGGGTATCATTAAAAACTCCCTCCACCATGGGTTGAGCAGATGAAATAATACCATACATTGGAAGGATTGTGTAAAAGGCCCAGGGCTGCATGTGCATAAGGATCTTTGGCTGACAAACACTGTTAATTAATCACTGATGTTTTATTCAGTATATACATGTATTCCAGATACTGTTTTAAGGACTCTTGATGTATTGGCTTACTGTGTCCCTGTAACGTAACAATTCTGTGAGATAGACAATCACAAACAGAACTCCGATGAAAGATATAATTATCCTACTTCGTTTTAGGATGTTCTTTTTCATTTTTAGTCTTAGATGTAGGTACATAGCATACGCTGGCAAAATGGGACTTGGAGGGTGGTGATCCTTTAGTAAGGACCACCTCTTCTAAAGGTTTTCTGCAGTGGAAGTGGCACTTGATGGATTTTTGTGTGAAATTAGTGAAGATGCTCGTGTCAAGGGCACAGTTGAAGATGTTCATGTTAGTTTGCCCCTTGGAAAGTGAAGAAACTAGTTTTCATGTGGCATTCAGTTTTTCCCTTGTGTATTTTCTGCAGAGGAATTTCCTTTCAAATGTTTGCCTGAATGAATATGTGCGTGCCTTGGAAAGCAAATGTTATGGTCAAGAAAAACTTGAAGTAGAAAGGCCACTTTGCTGTCCTCTAGGAATCAACTCCCTCCCCACCCTAAACGTCTTCCAAAATCAAATGTGAATGTCTCTGCCTTATCCAGTCATGAATAACTACTATTGTTACTTCCCTTCTTTAGTGTAGACAATTAAAACTGAGGGCGTTAAGTGCATGCCTATGTGTATTGTAGAGTTGGGAAATGATTAGCAAAGATATTGTAGATATTTTTGCACTAGACATTTTAGTGGAAAGAAATTGCATCTCCTAGGAAATTGGTCAATGGTTGAAGTTTGGTTTGTGAGGAGAGTTGGAAATAAAGTGAGCCCTGTTATATTTAAGCCTCATCAATCTCTGATGCTACACAGGCATCTTGAAAGAGCAAGGGGAAAAATGTGTGAAGGATCTTCTTTAACTGGGAAGATAAATAGCTTGAGTCAGATCTTTTTTAAAAAAATGCTTAAAATATTAAAAAGCAGAGTGGAGGAAAAGAAAATTGTTGATATTTGTCTGATTTTAATTCAACTTTAAACATTCCCAGATTATCTTTTATTGGAAAACAGACCAGTAATATAAAGTTTTATTTAAATCTGATAGGATTTAATTCTGAATTATTTGGAATATGTGCTATTGTAGTAATTCCTGAATTTCACGTTGTTAGCCTTTGCTTTTGCCTCTAGATCACTTTGTTTGCTTTGCTGAAAATCTACTTCACTGAGAATGAAGTAGTCTAGAATGACCCTTTCCTCAGGCATAGTCCATATATTGGAGACTAAATTCATTTGAATTATCCAGATCATCTACAGTGAAAGGGGTTGAAGGAATTCTGAGTATTTTCACAGTGATGTCATATTTAGATGTGAACAGACTGGAAGATTTAGTAGAGCTTAGACAAAGTATTTATTCCCTTTCTTCGTGGAAGACCTGATGACAATGGTGGTTGCTGGGCAGACAGAATTAAAAGTAAGTACCATAGTGTGATTACTACAGATACTTAGTGTTACATACACCGAACCTTCTGTGCACAGTGTGAACTTGTTTTGTGCGTGTACAAACACATTTAAATGGTTTTTGTTGCCTTTAGAGGGTTATTGGAGTTGCAAGTTTTTTTTTCTTGGGTAAACAATTGGATGTTGGGTAAATTGACCTACTCTAAATTAAAAAAAACAAAAACAAAAAATCTCTGGCTAGAAATGTATGCTTTTAAAGGCACTCAGTAATGTAAATTGGTACAGCTTTTCTGGAGGACAGTCTGATAGTAGTTATGAAAATTTTAAATGTGTATAACTTTTAAGCCCATAATTTCCTCTCTAGTAGCTTGTCCTAAGAAATAGTCATCCAGATGTGCAGAAATGCCTGCAGGACAATGGTCGCTCTGGTGTGTTTTATAATATGAAAATGTTGGGAACAACCCAACTGTTCATTCCTAGGATGCTGGCTAACGGTACTATGTATATTCACGCCGGGAAATAGAATCCTACCTTTATATGGGTAGAGGAGACCTGTGGATTCATCGTAGTCTGTTCATACTGCTGTAACAAAACACCATAGACTGGGTGGCTTATAAACAACAGAAATTTATTTCTCACAGTTCTAGAGGCTGGGAAGTTCAAGATCAAGTTGTCCCCAGATTCATTGTCTGATGAGGCCCCACCTCCTGTTCATAGATGGCCATCATGTCATTGTGTTACATGGTGGAGAAAGAGGGACAAGGGTGCTCTCTGGAGCCTAATCCCATTTGTGAGGGCTTACGGTCATGACCTAAGCAGGTAAGAAAGGCTCCACCTCCTAATACCATCACAAAGGGGGTCAATATAGAAATGTTAGCAGAACATAGACATTCAATCTACAGCAATATTTATGTGGGAACATGAGTGACAATATTCTAAAGTGAGGGGAGGAGAAGAACACAGTGTGTATAGCATGTCCCCATTTATGTAAAAATTTTTTTTTCTGAATAAAGATGTCACTGATTCTGGAAGAGTTTATTCCACAGTATGAACAGCGGTTTACATCTGGAGTTGAGATTATGGGGAAAATGTTCTCTTCACTTCCGTTTTGAGGTTTTTTTGTTTTTGTTTTTTAATGATGTGCATGCTTTTAAGTGTATTGACTTCAAGTCCCTTTTCAGATTGCTCTATTAACTTGAGTAGCTCAACCATGACTTTCCTATTTGAGTCAATGTTGGGCCTTTTAGGGTGCTGTATTTCCTGCCATGGCTTCCAATTCTTGCTGGTAAGTTATTTACCAAGGAAGTAAATTCTTTGGGACTTTTTGCCTACATGTGCCTTGACTTGTGCAGACCATTTGCTGAGGTGCTTTTGTTTTTGTCTCTTACTCTCTTATTGAAATTTTTGAGATGTAGCCGCTCTGACCAGTGTTACGTTACAGTTCAGTTTGACTTTCTATCCCTTTGCTACTGATTACACAAATCAAATGGTTCCCCCATCCCCCCCTCCTATATGCACTTTCTTGTTTGCCAGTTTCACACAGGGAACCTGGTTCCAGCTTCCCATCATGCCTGTGGGCCTTGCTACTTTGAGTCAAGCCACATTGGGTTTTGAAACCAATTCCTCCCCGTGACACCTGTTCCAGATCCCCAGCAGGCATAGTGAGCTTCGTGCCACCTCATTGCTGTGGTTTTCTGACACCTCAAAATTTCTCTTCTGTGATTTCAAGCTTAGCTTTATATCAATTTAAAAATGCATTTTGCAGTACCTTTGAGTTCTAGAGCCTGAGAAACGGGGGAATGTAGCATGAACTTAATATACCACCTTGACTCTGGAATTTATATTACTTTCATAATCTAAAAATACATATCTTTCTCTCTACTATCCTTGAAAAAATTATCTTTTTTGCTTCTCTTAGAATGTGATTTTGGAGCTCTAATCCTCACAAGGCTAGGATTCTAGTTCCAGAAAGAGGCTGTCTGTGCAAGGAGATGCCTGTAGCTCTTACCAAAGAGAAACCAATAGAGAACTAAGCTTACTTTAAATTAAACTTTATAATGGGGCAGCATTGAGTCTAGTTGGGGAAAAAATGGAGCCAACTGAAATGTTGGATCTGCAGAAGATATTTACCAACGTAAATTCTAAATGCTTATATGCACTTGGGACTCGAGAGAGTACACATGCTGTAGCAGGGGTGCAGTTACAAGTTCACGATGAGGAAACAAGGAAGAAAAGCCCTGTTAATTTAATTTTATTTTACAGTTGGATACAGGGTAATAGATAGGAAGTATAACCTTTTTATCTCCTAGGGAGGTGCAGAAATCAAAAGGTACACTTACAGGGGAATTTACAGCGAGCACAGATGAGATCCAAGGTGGTCTTTTTAACACAGCCTCTGTTTCCCATCAATTTATTTTTATTCTTCCTCTTTTTACCATTCTAGTGATGGAGGCCCAAGGCCAACTCCTAGTCCTGCAGACCAGGTGTGCCCACATAGCAGTTTCCAAGTAAACAGCCCTATGAGAGACTAAGGTCCTTCCTGGACAGGCACCAGCCTGAGGTTTGTTCACCCTTTCCTCACAAGTAGTGAGAAGCCAGAGAGAAGGTGCACTAGTAGAGTAGAACCTGACCTGTGTTGTGAAATATGGGTGAAGCTCAAATATGCAACAGTTAGGAATGGAAGCAATGAAGTCTTAGTACCTTGAGCCAAGGTTTGGCAGCAGACCTCCTCAGGTGTGTTCAGCAGCCTTCTCCTTAGAGTCAAGATTTATGTTTTGGAAACAGGTTAGAACAATACATTGGAGCCAAGTTTATGGGATGTGAATGCTGGAATAAAGAGTGTAAATTTGTTTTCTACCTGCACTGCTCAATATGGTAGCCACTAGGCATATATGACTATTTAAATGTATTAAAACTGAATACAGTAGATCTACTTCCTTAGTCATACCAGCCAAGTTTCAAATGGGCAGTTGCCACATGTGTCTAGGGGCTACTGTTTTGGATAGCACAGACCTAGAACATCACAGAAACTTCTGTCAGCCAGCACTGCTCTGATCTGTAGAAAGCTATTGATG